GCGTGATCGCAACCCTCATTCCCTGTCCCCCTGCTCTGCTCAGGGGGAAGAGGTAGAGAAGTTGGGAGTGAGTGAAGTTGGCCCCAGAAGGAAAGGAGGGCTGGGGCGGGAGGTGTTTTTAGATTTGTTCTTATTTCTCATTATCCTGCTCTGATTTGATTGGTAATAAAATTAAATTTTAAATTAAAGTAAATTAATTTCCCTGAGTTGAGTCTGTTTTGCCCATGACGATAATTGGTGAGTGACCTCTCCCTGTCCTTATCTTGACCCATGAGCCTTTCATTGTATTTTCTCCCCTTGTCCAGTTGAGGAGGGGGAGTGATAGAGTGGCTTTGTGGGCACCTGGCAGCCAGCCAAGCTCAGCCCACTGCAGATGCTTACCATTCACATTGATTATGTTGGGAAAACAAGCAAGGGTCCTTTTCCTATACCTTGTCTTTTTTTTCTTTACCTTTCATGCACAAGTGTGTGTGTTGGGGGTTTGTTTGTGGTGGATGTTTTTTGTCTGTGTGGTTGATAGCATAGAGTGCCTCTTCAGCAATGAGCATAGGAAAAGTACAGTTTAGGACAAACAAACAAACAAAGATGTCAGGAGAAGTGAGATGTAATTAGTTACAGCTTCACAAGGTAGGCTGCTGATGTACATGGGATAAGTTTTGGGATGTTTCATAGCCAGTGTATGCCTGCTGAGACATCTATTTTGGCAGGGTCCTTTGCAGTATGTTAGGAGAGGACTACTGTAAGAATCTGCAAGATAATTATTCCCTTTCATAGTATTCCTCTACTATTTTTTATTTCTGGAGGCAGGGAAATGAGAAAGAACTGCTCGCGTGGAGCTTGTTTTGGATATGGATGGATTTGTTTCGTGGTGATGCTGTTTCATTTGCAAGGGTTGTATTTTGTATAACACTAATATCTCTGTCAGCTGCAATAAGGAAATAAATTACACAATGCTCTAAGTCGTTTATGTTAAAGAAGATTCTGCTAAGTGTTTTTTTGAGACAGAATGCTGTCCCAAATGTTGTAAGCTGGAATAAAGCTTGTCAGTAGTTTTCAAGGCTGTTGTTGATAGGCTGCAAGGACTCTCGCCAGCTCTCATGAGCCTGGCCATCCTTGTTTTTGTGATAAAAGACAGTGAAAAATAGGAAACACTATTATGCTGTTGCTTTTCCAATTCTTGGGATTATTGTGGAAATTGTGCCATTCCTGGGATGGAGAGAAAGGGGCTGCAAGAAATACTGATGCTTATTCCTATTTATAGAAGGGGCTTGGCATACTGACAAGAGTGGGTGGTAACCATGGTTCTTAAAGGTGACAATGCGGTTGTTCAGAATTTTTTTTTAATTTAATAGAAAGTGGTCTCCAAATTAAAGTAGCTATTTAAACTGAAGAAGGGGAAAAAACACTCACTTCTTTGTTTTATTTCTTTCTTTTCACAGTGTCTGAGTCTTGACCTAATCTTGATAGCTTTCACGTCTTCAGTGCCAAAAACCAAGACACTGGGTTAAGAAAAGGGGTGGTTTGGTTTTTTTTTAACTAACTTCAGATTTAGGTAGTGCTGAGGTTCTGTTTTATAAATCGTACTTGGAATTTTCTACAATGATTTTGACTATCTTTTGGCTCTGCAGTTACTACCAACAGCAGCTGTGCTTTGCCTAAACATGTTCTTCTTACTGTCTTTGTCTTATTATATCATTGCTCTCAGAGTGCAGAAATGATTGTGTGATGTTTCTGTGGAGGTTATTTGCTGTTGGGAAGACTGGAAATGACGCTTTTAGAAGTGGGATATAAATGAATAAATAGTATCATGGGGAGGTGTGCCCAGCTCAAGAATGCGTTTAGCAATTCCTAACCGTTTTCTGATTGAAGTCCTGAACTGCTAAGTTCGGTTGGCCTCCAGATGCCAACATGAATGTTACATGGAAGCGTATCTCTTCAAAGCCTTCTAAGAACAGTAGCCGCTACCCTTTAACTGGGCACTACTTCCTTAAAGTTTACATTTTGATAATTTTAAAATTTGTTAAATGTCGTCTGTGAACTTTTTACCTCTTTTCAGAAGGATGAAATGTTAATGGTACTCTGACAACACTGCCGGTAATCATCTTTCATGGTCTGTTTCTTTGGGGTCGCAAAGCCAGCAGAGAGAAAGCAAGTGTTTCAGATAATGTATAGTCAGAAGAAAGACTTATTTTTGCACAGATGAATTACTATGAAATCATATGCATAGATTAGGAGAACTATAGAATAGCATTTAATGTTTGTATTTTACTAGTGTGAAATAATAGCGTTCAACAGCCTTGTTACGAACAGATACTCTATTAAGTATGTATTTGAGATAAAAAACTTCCTGCTCTTTGTACCTGTGCAAAATCCATGGGGGAAATAGCTAATAAAACAATGTGTTAAAAGTAAGCTTTATTTCTTTTTTCTCTTCATAATACTTAAGCAATAAATGTTTTAGCCTACCTATATTTTGTAGCTTCCAATTCTTTTATGTAATTTCTAAAGAAAGAGAACCCTTCTTGCTTAGTATTAAGCAAGTAGGCAAATCATGCCCACTCAGCAGACTTCTTCGGTATGGACAGAAGTGCTTTGTTGAATGATGATGTCATTGTGATGCTTGAAGTTCTTTTTGTAGTTAAGGGTGGTGGCGTTGGACTTCTTGTCAGGTTTCCAATACTATGTGTTTTCAATGTGCTCTTCAAAAAATGCCATTAGAGTTGGATGCAGTGGACTCCGGCATTTTTCACAATGTTTTGCAATCGCATTGCCATCTAAGCTTTGCAGCAATGTGCAGGGTGGCATCTTTATTTTTGATTCCTCTGGTTCCCAATTTTAAAGCTCAGATCAGATGTTAACTCTAGTTTAATGTGCGTTCATTTATTATATGGACACCTATTGTCTCAAAGTGTGACTAAATCTGTTCTAAAACCACACAAACCCATACTGGCATCATTCTGAGTGCAGCTAGCAGCGTTCTTTTCTCCTAATCTTTCAGAAATGTAATTCACAAGTATATGGAAATATTTTGCTGTTTAATGGCTAGGAATTTATATTTGTTGAAGTGGTTACTATTAATTTTGAGTTTTCCTGCTGTGAATGGTATTTGTTGTGGCATGTGCTGCATTTGCATGTTCCCAGGGTTTAATTCCATCTTTTTGAAAACAAGTGGCAAGATTCTGAATGCATCACACTGATAGCACGTCTTGAAATTGGAGTACTGTGCATGTATATGTTTTCTCAGTGCTTATTGCAAGGGATTACACTTGGGTTTTCAGCAAGTGCTAGGTTTATTTTTTTTTAAGGAAGCCATCCCAAGTGACTGGAGGTGTGTTTACCATAAACTGAAATGTTTGAATATTTGCTGTTGGCTATCAGTTTCACTGGTATGCAACAAGGTAAGCAGAGTTCTGATTTCTCTCCAATTTAGGTTCCTGTGTGCTTGTGGGTGCGTGCATATTCCAACTTACAGAGAAGTTTTTTTTTGTCAAGTGTTCCGCCCCTAACTACAATTCCCATTTACAGTCTCACAGGTGGGTCTTTTGTTTGTTTTACTTCTGGTTTTGTGTGAAATAATTGAAAAAATTTGTGGAGAATTTTGCATTTTAAATCATGTTTTAGAAACTGTGAACTCCTCTTGAGCTGTCCCATTTTCAGGTCAGTGAGATGTACTTAAAATGCTCTCAAGGATAAATGCTCTCAGAATACACGTATGCTGTGCCGTATGGAACTCTGTATTTGCTCCAGCTTTAAGAAATGTCAGTCACCCATTCTTTATGCAAGACCAATGATTATTCAGCATTTCTTTGGTTTAAGCCCATAAAGCAAGGTAGTACAGTAGACTTAGGAGGGGGGAAGAAAATGCTATAATGCTTACATCTGCTGTTAAGTGCCACATAAATCTTGTGTATTTTTCTCTGGCCAATAGCACGCTTTCTTTCCTAGTCCTAATTATATTTTTTGAATCTCTCTTGCAGAGTGAGAGTTAGTGTCATGTGACAGACCGAAAATGTTGGATGACATCAAGAAGCGGTTTGAATTTCCTAATGCAGTTATTCAGTCACAGGTAATTTGTTTTTAAAATCATTAAACAAATGGAATTGTTTGTGGAAACATTTGTTCCAAGGCCTGCTGCCTGTCTGTAAAAAGGTAATAAGGAAGACTTTTTTGTTGGGTTTTTTTTTTTACTCCAAAGACGGAAAACCATAGAAGTAGGCTATTCTTAAGTTGCAAACAGATGCTAATTGCCCTCTCTGTGTAATCCAAGCATTGGACATAATTGCTCATCACTGTAAAGTCTCTCCAGGAAAATCAGAAACTCTGCAGGACTGGAAGATTGAACAGGGGCCAAATGGTTTTTAGTGACTCTGTGATCTTGAGAGAAGCCCGGAGTTACCAGATGTCATGTGTGCGGTCGAAATACTTGACAATACTTTACAACTGTCTTTAGGACTGATCTGTTTTCGTCCTGTGTGATGAGAGCTGATGAACTACTGCAGTCTGGTCTGTTGTAAAGAATAACTATATACAGCTCCACTATGATCAGCAGACCAAACCCTTTGATTTTCAGATCCATGCATTGGCTCCTAATCATGTTCACCTGAAACTTTCTCATGTGCATAAAGTGTTTATCATAGTATTTTTAATGGACAGGAAGGAAGGAAGTAATAGGCTGCGTTTTAAAAATACACCTTCCTTACTTTGGCCGTCTCTCACTTCCGTGTTAAAAATGTATCTCTTCAGCTGTAACTTCCCCATTTTCTTTCTCTTCCTGTTTTGAATTCAGGATGAAATATGTAGCCATTTGTTTGATGGAATAAGTTGATGTAAATGCAGTCCATGCAACCTGGTGTCTCTGCTGCCTTTTCAGTTCAGCTTAGTCTACATTGCTTTACAATAATTAAGTTTGAAACAGAGACACAGAAGTTCCCTTGTGATCAGCTTGGCATTTAGGAGAGGAAGTCGTGTCCCTAAAAGCTAGACTTCATCTAAGGTCTAGCAGGGTCTTGTACTGCAGATGAGTTCAAGTCATTACTAACCTTGATGAGTAGGACTTGGCATCTTTGAACCAGTTCATTTTTCCTCAGTGTCCCCATGGTAAAAGTATTGCTGAAGTGTCTTGGCTTATCATTGCAGCTGCACATCGTTAAGGGCTACTGCTGTGCTTTGGTTGATTTTATGCTGTGCTTTGGTTGTTTTGTTAGTTTTCACTTATATTCTGTGACCCCTGAAAAACATGCTGTAGTCTTCAAACTATCATCAGGCCAGGATTCAACTTCATGACCGATGTCTTCTCTTTCTGGGACCAACCAAGACATCTCTGCAGAGCATGTAACCTACAGACAGGGATCAGCGAAGTGAGGAACTTGAGCATAGTTTTGTAGGTCAAAAAGTTTTACTAGTGAATTCTTGGAATGCAGTGGGCTAATCTACATTTTGACTTTCCTGTATAGCTCACTGCAAAAGCCACTTTCTATTGATAAGCCCCTTTTCCAGTGTAATGGAAGTGTTTTAAGGATGTGGGTGTGAATTAATTTCTGAAGTTGCTTATGAGCAGGAAAAAGAAAAAATGATAGAAGATTCACTTGGTAAGTGCACTAAAAAAGATCTAATCTGCCTAGGGAGCATGTTGCTCTTGCAATGGGGTGGCTGCACAGAAACAGAGATAAATACCTGACTTTGTCCCATTGTTCTCTTTGTTTTCACACGAGTAAGATTCCCAAATAATAAACTGTCTTTTTAAGTCAAATGTGTTAAAGTACATATGCAAACCTTTGAAAGGCATAATCTTTGTAGTCTAGAAAGTGTCATCTTTCCTAGAAATGCGAACTGCTATCTCGGAGTGCTACTGTTTGTCATGTCAGGCCAGCAACTAATATCTAAATGAAGCATAAATAAATCCTGAAAGGAGAAGAAATGTGGAAACATTTAAAATAATCTGTTCCTGTCTTTTTATATGCTAGCAAAACAGAAATGTTACTATTATTTTTTTTTTCTTGCTGGCTTCCTAGTTTAATTTTTCCAAAAGTAAGGATCTGTCCTTACCGTAGAAGAGTAGATGCAGCTGCTGTTCTGGGTACATTGATAATCTGAAACTTTTTTGTACTCTTAGTATGAAAAGATGTCCTTGTGGCTCTCAGGGAAATGATTTTCTGTGTAGCAGTATCAATCATGAAACAAGACAGAGTAAGGCATTAGAGATGAGGCAGAAAACAAAAGCCTGGGTTCAAACACCCTGAAAGCTTTGAAGGTATTTCAGTATTTCAGTCCACATTTATATTTTTAAAGGCAGTTTGAGGAAATCAGACATTCCTTCTATCAAAATAGATAAACCTCAAATGAACAAACGTGCTTTCTTTAGCACTGAAGCCCTCATTCTTTAGAACTGAAGCATTTTTTTTGGAGGACCTTGAAAATCTAAATGTTGCTTGTGATCTCAGCTGCAGAATAGCTTTATGAGGAATACTATTAACTTCAAATGCCTTGTTTAAAGTAAAGCATTTCTGGCAGTAGGTATGCTTGAGGATATGTAAAGTGCTTAAGGTATGATAGTATGTTTATCATCAGTGTTTATCAAAACTTGTGGTGCAAAAATTTGGGCAAGTTGTTTAGATTTGCTGTGTTCCACTTCATCTCTTGCTTCCGCTACCTTATATTATTAAGGATTTAATAATTACCAGTGCTGTTAAGTACACTGAGATCTGTACAGCAGTGGAGCTGTAAATGTCTATTACAGTTGATGCATTAAAATATCTGCAATTTCTGAGTATGTACCTGATTCTAATCTTATAAGAGGTTCTGTACAAAGAGACCCTTGGATCTATGTGGAGCCCTATGGAAATTTGTTTCTTTTCTGCCTCAGGATAACAGTAAATAGTTGTATGCCAGCATTATGGAGATTTTTGGCCCTAAAACATATTTCAGCTTCCATACCAGTAAGTTTGGTATTTCAAATAAAATGATATGATAAAATGATCATATGCAAGAGCAGTGTAAATTCTTCCCAATGGAGAATTGAAAAATAACACTTGATCTGCATGTGGTTTTTATTTCTTTTTCTCTTTTAGGCAGTGGGTCATCTGATTGCTGCAGTACTGAAAGAAAATGTTTCTCCAGAGAAGATCAGGCAGGCGTCTGACCAGGTCTGTGGCATTCTTTCACTTCTGTCTCCTCTCCCATCCACATGTGCTTAAGTTTTTCTATGGTTTGCCATTCCCCATTGTGTAATTTTAATAAATCCTGGAAGTTAAGTAAGGTAGTTACCAATGTGTGTCTGGGAATACAGGTAGAAACAGTAAATTTCTGGGATCAGAAGAGCAGTTTTACTTCCATCAGAAGTCTTAATGGCAGAAGTCTTAATTCTGCAGAATACCAACATTAGCTATGCTCAGTTTAAGAGAGTTTTATTTGAGTTTAATTACGTTACTGCAAGTGAAGTGCCATGTGCTGAGACATTGTCACTTGAGTAGGAAAGTCTTTTACATCACTATAAAAATTTCAAAAAATACGGCATTTCACATACCTTTATTGGTTTTATATTTCATATTAGCTAAGTAGAGCTTTTTTTTTGAGAGAGAGAGCATGGTGCAAAGGCATACTTCGCTCTTTTAGTCGAGTCAAGCTCGCTTCAGTGCAGGTCTGTCTTGCTAACTGAGACAGAAATGCTGGCATTTGCAAGTGTTATAGCAATGTAGGAGAGGTGTTAGTTAGGATTTGCTCCTCTGTTTTTTCTCCCCAAAAGCTGATTTGTACAGAAATGAGCAGAAAATGATTTGTGGCTTTTTTTGTCCCAGTCTGAAGTCTTAAACCTGCCCCCCCAAACTAGCAAACCCAAAACTAAAAAGTGCTGAGTTTTGATGTGAGGGAATGTTGGAAGTGTGTAGTTTCTCTAACAGGGGCTCCTCCACCAGTCCTGATCATAATCATGTTCCCAAATGACATTCTGTTTTGAGCTACAAGCTGACTCTTCCCATTTGGTATTAAACTGAAATGCAGCAACACCTTCTAAAATTGAAGATTGGGCCGCTTAGACATTACAGACTCCCTTTCTATTCAAAGAGCATTTTGCAGTGTTCAGTTGTTTAAAAACGTTCCTTGTTTCTCCATTTGGAAGCTACAAAGTCAACAAACTAACCTGTGAATGCAAATTTAGCATGAAAACAAGCAGCAATTTTGATGGATGCTGCCAAATCTTTGTGCTTACTAGCAAATGGAGACCACTGAGGACTTGATATGGTGAGTAAAGATGACTTACTTCTGGATAGCCCTTTGAATGCCTGCTTCTAGCAGTCTGCACCACACCTTGGTGTAGACATAGCTTGACATAGTTCCTGAGTTATCTCCAATTACACGTTGATCATTTTAAGGAAAGTGAAACTGATGATAGTCTACCTGCATAGGCACAGCTGAAAAATTCGTCTGCCTTACGCTTTTCTCAGAGACTCCTGACCCTACTGAGGGCATAGGCAATAGGGGGCAGGAAAGTATGAACTGTCCTGGGAAAGGCCTTTCTTAGGTGTAGAATCTGTACTCCAGCTTCCTCCTTCTGTTCTCTAAGACTTCAGGAGAAGCTGTTGAGTAGGTTTTTTTTTAAAAGTGTGTTTGAGATGAATGAAGAGAAATCAGTATCAGCTTTCTCATTGCTTGTGTCTCATGCTTTTGACTTCAGACTCCTGCTCTGAACTTGCTTTGGGAGAAGTGCTGCAGTGAGAATGTTGCCGTGCGAACAGCCTGCTCTGAGGGGTTGGTGGCACTTGTTGCAGAGAAACATGCTGAGCTCGACTATGTTCTTCATGGAGCTCTCAACCTAATTCCTTCAGCAAGGTAGTGTTTGGTTGCCTGATTTTGTATCTTTTGTCGGCTGATTATCAGTCATTGCTTTTCCCTTGTAAATACAGGGGAAGAGGAGAGGTTCTGTAAATGGTAGTACCTTTAGATAAGCTGTGGCATTAAGGATTGGCATTGCCTTGCCACTCTGCTGAAGGCTGTTGCTTTCATCTTGGCAGTGTGACAGTGTGGGTCTGACTTAAGAACTCACAGAGTATCCTATGCATATAAGCTGAAATTGTTAGCAGTTCAGACCAATGCTCTGAACTTGGAACTGTCAGAAATCAATAAACTGTCTAGTTTCGTTGCCTCTGTCATGGGGAAGGGGGGAAAAAGTAATGGGAGAGGGAAATAACTTTCTAATCAGTCTGTCCAAATAACTAGTTGCTCAAATAGAGTCACCATAAGACTGTGGGTGGAGATTAGGAATGTGGGGTTTTGTTTCCTTTTCTGCTGAGGAAGACATCACTTTGTGTAACTCTGCAGCTACTACTTCTTAAAAAATTCTGCAAATGTAATGCTTACGTCTCACAATGGTGTTTTGAGGTAGGCTGCCTGTGCAACATACTGACAGAATGCAGTTGTGGGGGGAAAAAGACACTGTGCGTAAAACTTATAAATGGGAAGTTAAATGGTGATTGGGAAGATGTTTCCATTCAAATCTACCAACCTTATAAAGTTCCTTGGGTTATCTTTCTTAGCTGATTTTTGGCAGCTAACTGGATTTCTGCACTAAGCCTTCTCATTCTCTTCCTAGAGAATGCTAGAGTTGTTTTCAGCCAAGCCAGCTAATTGGTGCTACACCTGTGATGTATTGCGGGGGGGACTGGTGGGCTCAGCATAGAGGTTGCAAGAACCATGCTGTTCAAGACATGTCTTTCACACCTTCTGGCCTTCACGTAATCAGTTTTAGGCTGAGGTTTGTCATGGTCAGTCTGAGCCAAAGGTGAGTTTAGGTTTGAGTAAACTAGTGAAATGCTGAAGAAATCAGATATTTTAAAAAAGACTGTTTCTGTCCTTGTGACTTGCTTGTTTATAGCCAGGATCTTGCTGTGATGATGCCGATTCTATGCTGAGTTTACAATAGGTGGTTATGGATCCCTAGGAAAGGTTTTGTAAATGTATTTTTACAATACAATTAATTTCTGCAAACCACTGTCCTCCAAATAACAAAATTTTACTAGTTCAGTTTGGGGTTAAGGGAAGAATCTGCGTTGTTAACGAAGAAGTAAAAGGACCTGTGCTTAGACTATGAGAACCTGAACTTGTGTGGGGTAAAGTGGAGGGAAAGTTTCATTAGCTGTGGCTTGCAGACTAAAAAATTTGAAATTCCTGTTCAGCTAAGGGTTTGTTACAGAATGAGCAGTTTATAAGGAAATGAAATGTTACACAATTTTGTACTTCAGAAAATAAAAAGCGTAAAATGGGATATTTAGGATTGAGTTAACCTTAAAAACAAAGTCAGAGTTACGTATTGAAAGGGCTTGGATCTGCCCCATTTCTACACCATTCTTAGATTTTTTTTGTGTGTGAAACCAACACCCATGACTGATTGCTATAGTGAGTGCTGGCAAATTACCCAGGAAGGTTTTATGTATTTTTGGTGGTTCCTCGCCCCCCTCCCCGCCAGCTGCCACGATTCAAACCACATCCACTATGGATTGCAAAGCAGGGTTTATATACGCTAACCACAGGAAGTCTGTGGGTTTGAAGTGTCTGTAGCCTCAGGAGCTTGATTAAATTGCCAATTTCAGATTGGTTCATTTCAGTGCTGATACTTTTTTTTTTTCTTGACTCTTTTAGAATTGTAGCCTGCTGTTCATCATCCTGTTCCCTGCCAAATTTTCATCCAGGCTTGCTCTGTGGCTTTGCACTGCTGTGTGCGCAGTGTCTCTAAAATAAAGTAAATATGAAATTAGCAGCCAGTGGCAGCCAGCTGAAAGGCACTTGCAACTGCTGCACACCTTTCAGTGCTGAATGGAGTTAGGTGAATGTTTTTTTGGCAAAGACTACTCATGTTGTGTTCTTGCTTTTCTTCCTTCTGTTATGATGAATTTAGCAGGGGTTTAGTGCACCTGGTGGGTTTTATTTTGTCAGGTGTATCAAATCTGCATGCTAGGAGAGTCATTTTGCTTTGTCAGAGGTGAACATCCGGTACTTATCTGAGTTGACTTGTTATGTGGTTCACACTATCTGCTCATTATACAAATGGGAATCTATTCTTCCCTCTCTGGTGCATCATTGTACCATAACTGTCTCTTAGACCCAGTGTTCAGTTTCCTCTGATACCCCAAGAGTTTCAACTTTATGGAACATTATATTTATGTGAGTGCATGTGTATGCATATGAAATAGATTTCTCAGATTTTTTTTCCTACTAGGAAGGAAGAAGGGGGAACAGTAAAAAAGAAAAACAAAAAAAAACCCAGCACCCAATTCTCTTTTTCCTCCCTTATCTTGCCCTGTGTGATAGAAGTAACTTTTTGTCAAGTGACGATATCTTATAATTGTATATTGTGTTAGCTCTTCCTGTTCATTATGTGAATAAAGTGAGGAGTAATTGTTGTTTATTAATGTGAGTGGTAAACTATCAAATAGATTTTTAGGGGATGATGATGCAATTGTATAGCATGTTCTAGATGAAAAGTCAAGAAATCAACCATGACTCTTTTCTTCCCTCTGCTTCTACATTTTCACCTTCTGAAAGTGTGTTTCATTATAGAATCCAGGCTATTTGCTTGAGAAGGGATTGGGTTGGATCTGGCATTGTCTGGTTGGAAAGGTGTGGAAAGCACTTAATTATGAAGAGGAGAGCAAAATTTTGAAAGTTGTCCTTGTAAACTCAGCCAAGCAGTAATAAACTCTAGACTTCTTGAACTCTTCTTTACTGCATGGTCACAGAGCTTTTTTTCCCCCTTGTGGTGGACTCCATTAATTTCATTAGCGTCTCTCCGGGAGAATCTGCAAAATTCTATCAAAATTCCAGAAATACTGTTGTTTCTTGAATTTTCCTGAATGGTAAGTTAAACAACATAGGAGGAGGGAGATGAAGTAGCTGTATGTATCTATTTTGTGTAGTCCTTGGCTCCTGAGGTCAAAAGTCATCACAAACTAGATGTCTCAAGTGTCTTTTCTGACAATGTGATTTCTGTTGCTTTCTCTTGTTAGACAGTGGCATGGCTGAAATTTGTATACCATGCTGGATGTTTACCTGTATACTTGCATTCAGAGAAGAGCTAATTTTTCCGTTTTTAACATGTTAAAAGCACCAGTTTCAGTTAAGCTGGGGACAGCAAATGTACTTGTAAGATATGGTAGAAGCAAACCATCAGAAGTTTTAATTGATACATTAATTATTCTCTGCTGTTTTGCTCATTATGTGAAAAGGAAAACAAAGACATGGGGATGCACAACTTGCCCAAAATTGTGTAGGCAGATGTGAGGAGGTCCTTAAGGAGAACTCAAGGCTTTTTGAGTGTCAGTTTTGTTCCTGGGTTCCTCCTCTTATGGAAGAATAAATTAATGTAACTACATACATGAATTGATACATTAATTATTCTCTGCTGTTTTGCTCATTATGTGAAAAGGAAAACAAAGACATGGGGATGCACAACTTGCCCAAAATTGTGTAGGCAGATGTGAGGAGGTCCTTAAGGAGAACTCAAGGCTTTTTGAGTGTCAGTTTTGTTCCTGGGTTCCTCCTCTTATGGAAGAATAAATTAATGTAACTACATACATGACAGTA